TACATTTTGACTTAAAGAAAACAAAAATTCTTACAACTGGACCAATAGGTAACATCAGGATAAACAAGAGAAAATACTGACATTGTTAAGGATTTTATTTTACCACAATCAATGCCCATGGAAGCAACAATCAAATGATGTATAACATTGGGCAAATCTGTTGTATAAAAAGACCTTAATATGTGAAAGAGCAAAGGTGTCACTTTGAGGACTAAGGTGCACCATACTCAAGCCGTATTTTTCAACTGCGTCATAATCATGTGGAAGCTGAATAATGAATAAGGAAGAATGGAGAATAATTGACGCGTTTGAAATATGTTGGAGAAGAATATTGACTAGACTTCAGAACAACAAACAAATCTTTCTTAGAAGAAGTATAGCTAGAATTCTCCTTAAATGTGAGGATGGCATACTTTGGACATGTTATCATGAGGGTCTAGTCCTTGAAGAAAGATAACATGCTTGGTAAAGTAGAGGATCACCAAAAAAGAGGAAGACGTTATGTACGTTGGATTGGTGTAGTGGCTGTAATAATGGGCTTAAACATAACATAGCAACCCTTGTGGGAATGGTGGACTGGGCAGTGTTTTGGTCTGTTGCACGTAGGATTGCTGTGAGTTGGAACTGATTGAATGACACCTAACAACAACATTGCTGCTTATCCAGTATCTATTTAACTTCTAAGATTCAACACTCTCCTTTTCACTCCACGTAGAACTGATGATTTCTTCCTGTGTGCTCCATTGTCTCTATAACATGATATTTTTCCCTCTTACTTACATTTGCTCCCCTCCACAGCTCATTAAGATCAGGGGTACCTTGCAATTATAATCTCTGGCATCTAGCAATATTCTTGATACATGGTAGTTCTGAATGAATGCTTACTGAGAGAATAAAGTGTCATGAAAGAGGAGTGTGATGTGTAAGCCCAGAGTGCTCTAGTATGGGAATATCTGGAAAGGCACCCTGAAGAAATGACTCCCACATTCATTGATACCAATAAGAAGTTACTGGGAGAGAGAGAAGGAAGGAAAAAAGATGTTCTAAGAAAACAATATATACAGAGATATATGGGTATAAGAACATGTTGAAATCATGGTAGAGTTAAAAGTATACTTTTGTTCCTGTAACTGCCAGTTTTGGCTTTGGTCAGGGCTATCAAACCCATTGTAATCAAGTTAATTCCAATTCAGTGACTCTTTAAGACAAAATAGGATTTCTAAGGCTGTAAACCTTAATGGAAGCAGACTGCCTCGTCTTTCTCCCTTGGCATGGCTAGTGGTTCAAACTGTTATTGTTAAGTGTCGTTGAGTCAATTACGACCCAAAATAACCCTGTTTCTGAAGAGTGGTTGGTGGGTTTGAATTGCCAACCTGAGGTTAGCATTCCAGTGCTTATCCTACAGCGTCACACCAGGACAATATTGTTATGTGCTGTCAAGTTAGTTCTGACACATAGCGACCCCGTGTAGGGTTTCTGAAGCTTTAAATCTTTCTGCAACCAGAAAGCTTCATCTTTTTCCCAAGGAGCAGCTGGTAGACTTGAACTAAAGCACTCTATTGTTGTTAATTATTGCTGTCAACTCAGTTCTGACTCATAGCTACCCTGTATAGGGTTTCCAAGGAGCAGTTGGTGGGTTTAAATGACTAACCTTGTGGTTTGCAGTCCAGTGCTGATCCTACAGCACCTCACCAGAAGTCCAAAGCACTTTAGGTTTGGTAAATATTTTAAGTTGTGGATATTGTGCCGAGTCTTAACTTTCTGCCTCAGTATACTGTCTCTAAGTGTTGTAGTTTAGAACTGTCTATAAGTATTGTAGTTTAGATATTAATGTAGTTTAGATCGGGTGTAGGACTGATCATAATTATGGTAAAAACCAAAGTCGATTCAGATTTATAGCAATCCTATAAAGGGGTTTTGAGACTGTAAATTTGCGGGGGAGCAGACAGCCTCATCAATCTCCTGTAAAGTAGCTGGTGACTTTGAACTGCTGACCTTGTGGTTAGCAGTCCAATACTAAACCACAGCGCCACCAGGCCTCTATAATTTTGGTAAAGATGCTGTTTTCTTTGCCAATTTGGTCTTAAATTATTTTACCTGAATATTGCATTCCACACTTTAATTAAAAAGACATCATTTGCTGTAAGTCAAAGAGTAATAGTTCAATTTAATCAAAAACTATGTTTAAGCCTGGTGTGGTGCTGTAGTGTAAACCCTGGACTGCAGGGTCAATTTGAACTGCAAGGTTGGTGGTTCAAATCCACCAGCCTGTCCTTAGAAACCATATACAGGGGTGGCTATGAGTCAGACTGTAGAGTCCTGGTGTGGTGCTGTGGGCTAATGCGTCAGACTGCAAAGTCATTTGAACTGCAAGGTTGGTGGTTCAAGCTCACCAGCTGCTCCTTGGAAACCCTTTACAGGGTTGCTATGGGTTGGAATCGACACAACGGCACTTAACAACAACAAACAACAATGAGTCAGACTGAATCCATGGCACATGTTTAGTTCCATGGTAGCTGCTATAAAGAGATTCTTTTGAAATCAAACCTGTTCATTTATTACCATGAGTTTGAAAAAACTGATTACCAATTTGATTTTGCAAATTTAATTTTAGAGACCAATTTTTAACTGTTATCTTTCATTTGTTTTTGATGTGTGCCATGTAAGTTGATTCTGATTCGTCATGGCCCTATGTGGCAGTAGAACTTCCCCATAGAGTTTCCTAGCCTGTAACCTTTATGGGAGCAGATTGCTGAGTCTTTTTCTTACGTAGAGCCACTGGTGAGTTCAAACTGCCAACTTTCACGTTAACAGCCAAGTGCTTACCATTACGCCAACAACAACAGATGGCTAAATTATTGAGGAGAATCTTAAATCATTTCATATTTTTCAGTGGCCTATCATTTTTTGCTCTTAATTCTTGTCAGAAGTTTGTTTTTTTCATTTTCAATTAATAAGAACTCATATATTAGATGTCCATTTGGTAAACACTCTTATTTCAAAAGTGAACTCAAGCATTATCTCCTTGTAAAACCTTCTGTCTTCTAAGAAAACTTTATTTATGCCCAGTGTATCTTGGCTATATCTCTGTCATAGTACTAATGATAATATGCTGTAATGAAATCATCGTACTATATCTTTGATATCCCATGCAAGTAATTTTACTAACGGTAATACAGAAATGATTGCAAGCATACATTAACAGGGATTCATTGCAAGCATACATTAACAAGTCTGATTCAGAAGAGGCCGTGGAATGAGGGATATTACAGCTGATGTCCTATGGATCTTGGCTGAAAGAGAATATCAGAAAGATGTTTACCTGTGCTTTATTGACTATGCAGAG